ATCTGGATAGTAATGAGAGAATGGCGGTTGTGTATAGTGGACTGTGTTTGTAAGATGTGCATGCATCAACATTAATGGCTATGACATTTTCTAAACTGGCATTCTGGCATTCTGTACCCTGTCACTGAAGGTTATCCAAATGCCAGACACAAGTGAGGGCATTGGCTGCGACGCTTACACAACTCTCTCTCTCTCTGCTAATCACTACTGTCGCCACTGCCACCTGCTTGTCACATTTGTCTGTTTAAATGGACCTAATCTTCCAGAACCAGAAGACAGATTCAATGAAGCAAAAGATATGATAACAGCTGAGGAGATGGGAGTACAAATAACATTCAGGATTTGTGTTGAAAGCATTACGTAAAAGGCGTTTAAACAAAATGCTTACTGCAAATGGTTTATTTATTTGGCAATGAAATTCCTGGGTTGTTACTGATCAAGCTATATGTAATCAACTTTTACTCACTAGAGATGTTAATATATCACTGCTACTTTGTGTTAAATTGTTTGGTATCCATGTCAATTTTATTACTGGTTCTTATAGTCATGCACAATGGAACACTGCACTTTTTGGAAAAAGGCTCATTTAAGAACTAACCTACAGTTAAACATTTAAGTTTTACTTTTTTTTTTAATCCATTCATCCAATCTCTGTCTGTCGGGAGCACTTTTAGCTTAGCTTAGAATAACACATTGATTCGGATTACACCATTAGCATCTCTTTTAAAATCAAAAATCTTCCTATTAAAAGCTTGACACTTCTGTAGTTATATGACTGACGGAAAATAAAAAGTTGCTATTTTCTAAGCTGATATGGCTAGGAACTATGCATTCTGGCGTAATAATCAAGGAACTTTGCTGCTGTAAAATAGATGCAGCAGTTGCAATGATATTACGCATCAAAGCAGTGCATGCTGTAATGTAACAACAAAATAGTCAAGGTATAAATAAGAAAATTATTAAAACTATTTAAAAGAAATTAAATGCTAATGGTCTAATCAGATTCAATGATGTATGCTAAGCTAACAGTGCTTCCAGCAATGGATTAAAAATGGTAACTGTATAACTCTTGGAAACGTAAAGGGCACCTATGATGAAAATCATCTTTTGGAAGCTCTTTACAAAGAACTGTGTGTATATTGTCCACAGTCATGTTGGAGTGATAGAAACACAATAAGTCTCTTTTCTTTTATCTTCTGACGTTAAAATAGGATCCAAATCCCTCTTATTTTGAGGCCCACCGCAACGTGAAGTAGGAGTGTGGTTTCCCTGTCCACTGAATTGATTGACAGCTATGTATTAATATATCTTCGTAGTAAAGAGTATAATAATATTCACAATACAGGATATGCAAAGTGCGCATCTGTGTGTGTGTGTGTGTATGCTATAATGTCACTGTGTGTGACTCCTTGTTGCAGAAAGCCTTGAATTAACCCCACAATAAATACATCAAATATTATTGAGAAAGTGCTTACTGTAGTAAGGGAGATCTGCTTCATTCTTGTCTGTCACTGTGCTGTTTATCTACATGACAGCGACATGCATCAGAGCAATACAGAGAGATATATTGACATGCACGTGAAAATGGTAGGTGGAGAGAATCAGCTAATTTGCATTAAAGGCACAGGCAACAAAAACAGCTACAATGTATTAACAACGCAAATTTCACAAATCCAGAAAGGTAAAATAAATAATCTGATGGGTATTTTGAGCTGAAACTTCTCAGACTCATTCTAGAGACACAAAAGACTTATCTTAAATCTTGAAAAGGGGGTAAAATAGGTGCCCTTTAAGTAGATTTGTCTATTTATAAAAACAAATTGGAGTGTTCCTTTAAAATCCATTAAAATTAGTGTCCTTTTGTCATAGTATGATTCAAAAAGGTGCTTCCCCTATGCCCTCCCTTTTAAATATAGAAACTATGGCCTGAGTTATTTCCCAAACAGTAATGTGTGAAGGAGTTTCATAAGCTGATGAAAACAATAATTCTTTAAATTATTAAGTAGGAAGCAGGGCAGGGCCAAGATCCAACCAACGAGGCTTTTGGACTAAATATTTATGAGAGACATCTGTGTGACATACTGGTCTCTAGTCCTAAGGAGGAGCTCTGGAAAGATATAATGTGACAAAGAGGGGGAGAGAAGAACAGGCCTGGAAGATTTGCACTGGTGTTTAGTTTATGTTTATGCGGCTGTCATACACGAGGGGCTGCTGCTTAGTGTATACTTACATTTTTTGTAAGTATCAAAACTGCACACTGGAGCTTTGAGGGACATCTGCCATCAGAGGCTGTATCTAACCTCTGTTTTGGGGGGAGGAAGGTGCATTGGGAACAGTGCATTGCTACCAGACAGTGACGAGGAGGAGATGTCAGGGGACAGAAGGATTACAGGGATTAGATGAATACCCTAGGTGGTCACAACACCTTGCATTAGGGATTGTCGAGTTGAGAGAAAGGATGGTTGAGAAGGAACAGGCAAGAGTTGGAACGGAAAAAAGGATAACCTCAAAGAACTCCCTTGTGTTGTCTGGCAGTGGATGATCCTTGGTGGATGGCCTTGTATTGCCCCATCCTATAAAGTTAGCTAAAAGCTCCTTTTTGTTACTCACTAATAGTAATTCTATTAAAATTCCTACAGGACACATTTCTCCCTATCACAGCAATGATATATGTATCTACTAAAGTCAGCGAATGATGACTCCATTTCTGATCCTCTTACATGGAGGAGCCATCCCAGCCATCAGGGAACAAGGGGTGGGCAAGACCATCAACCATGGGATCATTAGATACTACATAACCCCTCTCTATCACAGCCTGGGCGAAGCTTTGCACCATAGAAATAGATGAGGTGAGAGAAAGATGGATAAAGAGCAACTGAAGCAAGAGGGGATAAACATTACCAGCTGGTAGAACTCCTTCACAGTGCCTGGCAGCCACCCTAGATGCTGCCCAGTAGTACTCCCCACCCCTAGGGGCCACTAGCACCTTTCCTTTGTCACCATCTAGCTTTGAGGCTGTGTTCCTGTGGCACCTGCTTCTCCTAAGCAAAGTGCTAAAATGCACCCCTAAAGTTGGCGATGATGCCACTTTCTTTGGGCCCCCTGGTGGCAGCTGCCTTTCTAAGGGGCCATTTACACAACATTGTTTTCAGCCAAAAACAGAAAACTGTATGTGTTTGCCTGTTTGTTTACACAACAACAGCATTTTTGCACATATTTGAAAATGGGTTTTAAAAATTTGTGATGAAAAGGATGCTATTGTCATGTCAGTGTAAACCCACCTTAAAATTAGTCTTTGAAAATGATGACGTCATGCGTGTGCATTTTACATGTTTAGGGAGGTGACAGTGCAAACTAACACACAACAATGGCAGAGTATGTGGTAGTGTTGTTGTCGCTCAAGTGCTTCTTTATGCTTTATCAGCAAAGTGTGGATTTACTTTACATTACACCCAACAGTGTTGCAGCACACCTTGCACACACAGCAAAATCTACATACACATCAGTGCCAAGCCACCAAGTTTTTATTTTACCACAGGTGCTGCTTACTAACAAGGTAGCAGTGCCAAATACTGGTCTGGCATAGATAATACAGGATTTTTAGTCATTTTCACAGATGTGCAAATGCAGATTTTTTTGAAAACACTGTAGTGTATACATGACACTTTTTTAAAGTGCAAGGAAAAAACTTTTCAAATTTTTGCAGGGCAAGTAAAAATCTGAACAACTGGCCCAAGCAGAAAAAAAAATCCTTAGCTTTGAACCCAATATAATGGGGTACAAATTTAAAGCAAAACTAAGCAGGATCCAGCAGATGTTGAACACAAAGTTTAATGACAAAAAAAACATAAACAACAAGTTAAACGTAAGCAGTGGCTCTTCCTAATGGATGATTAATGCATAAATATGAAAAACACGGTAAATGTTTCAGGCCTGATTCTCTCTTGCACTTATATTCTCCCAGAGCTCTTCCATGGGAATGAAGATCAGTGTGCTAATCACATTATTTAAATAGTTTAGAGTGAAATTGTTTCAAACTAGAAAAAGGGACGTGACTTTATTTTATCAATCAGGAATTGATTTAATTATTGTTTGCAATCACTGTGATTTCTCATAGAATATAAACATTAATAAATAAAGTGAAAAACTGTGCCCGCAAATATTTTACTGGTTGAAATGTGGTAGGATAGACAGAGAAAAACAGATAGAGAGCAAGAAGGACAGAGAGGAAGAGATAGAAAAAGGGGCTTGTTGAGAAGGGGTATCATGTGACACTAAACAAGCTGTTAAATATCAGTCTCGGCCTGCCAAGGAGCTTTCAGACGGATCTGGCATGTGTGACGGCAGGATTACACACACACACACGCTTGCCAATACGCAGACCTAACGCACCTATTCATGCGGACCTATATAAAGTGTCTGAACTTGTGCCAGAGTCTTGAAAGCTCAGGAAATCTTCAGTGAACCAAACTCTCTTTTTTTTTTTTTTTTACAATTTTTGTCCACAGACACACAGGCAAAAATAAGCAGAAGCTCCGTGACCTTGTGTTAGCTAGCAGCCAAAACTGTGCAACTTGATGTGCAAAAGCCATGCAGTAGTGTAACTCAACTAGAGCCAAACTTATTTTCAAAGAATGTGGTGTCTGTTCAGATTGTCCTAATGTCTTGTCTGATGTTGTGTTTATGTTTAGTGTGCGGTTGTGACCTGGCCCAGGGTGGTTTCTTCATGAAGAATGGAGAGTATTTATGCACGTTGGACTACCAGAGGCTTCATGGCACTCGCTGTAACGGCTGTGGAGACTTTGTTGAAGGAGAGGTGGTCACCGCTCTTGGGAAGACCTACCACCCTACATGTTTCGTCTGTACTGTTTGCAAGTAAGAGTTACGCAAAAGCAGGCCCTCTACATTCAAATGTGTAACACATACAGTGCATCCGGAAAGTATTCATAGCGCTTTATTTTTTCCAGTTTTTTATGCTACAGCCTTATTCCAAAATGCATTAAATTAATTAATTTCCTCAAAATTCTACACACAAAACCCCATAATGACAATGTGAAAAAAAGAGTTTTTGAAATTGTTCTCTATCAGATTGGATGGGAAGCAACGGTGTACAGCCATTTTCAGATCTCTCCAGAGATGTTAAAAAGGATTTAGGTCTGGGCTCTGGCTGGGCCACTCAAGGACATTCACCGAGTTGTTGCGAAGCCCATCCATTAATATTTTGGTGGTGTGCTTTGGGTTATTGTCCTGCTGGAGGATGAACCGTCGCCCCAGTCTGAGGATTTCTCTGTACATTGCTGCATTCATCTTTCCCTCTATCCTGACTAGTCTTCCAGTTTCTGCTGCTGAAAAACATCCCCACAGCATGATGCTGCCACCACCATGCTTCACTGTAGGGATGGTAATAGCCAGGTGTTGAGCGGTGCCTGGTTTTCTACAAACGTAATGCCTGGCATTTACTCTGAAGAGTTTAATTTTAGAGAATTTTGGGTCTGAGAGTCCTTCAGATGCCTTTTGGCAAATTCCAGGTGGGGAGTGGCTTCCGTCTGGCCACTCTACCATACAGGCCTGATTAGTGAATTGCTACACAGATGGTTGTCCTCCTGTAAGGTTCTCCTCTCTCTACAGAAGAACACTGAAGCTCAAACAGAGTGACCATCGGGTTATTGATCACTTCCCTGACTAAGGCCCTTCTCTCTCGATCATTCAGCTTAGTTGGCTGGCCAGCTGTCCTGGTGGTTCCAAACATCATCTACTTATGTATGATGGAGGCCACTGTGCTCATTGTAACTTTCAGAGCAGCATAAATGTTTCTGTAACCTTCCCAGCCTTGTGCCTCGAGACAGTCCTGTCTCTGAGTTCTACTGACAAATCCTTTGTCTTCATGCTTGGTTTGTGCTTTGACATGCACTTTCAACCCTGGGACCTTATATAGACAGGTGTATGCCTTTTCAAATATGTGTCCAATCAACTGAATTTACCACAGGTGAATTCCAATTAAGCTGCTGAAACATCTCAGGAATGATCAGTGGAAACAGAATGTACCTGAGCTCAGTTTAGAGCTTCATGGCAAAGGCTGTGAATACTTATGTACATTTGATTTTTCAAGTTTTTTATTTTAATTAAATTTGTTAAAATTTCAAAAAAACTTTTTTTCACATTGTCATTAAAGGGTATTGCGTGAAGAATGTTGAGGAAATAAATGAATTTAATCCATTTTGGAATAAGGCTGTAACAAAAAATAAAGAAAAAGTAAAGCGCTATGAATCCTTTACGGATGCACTGTATCTATAACCATGATTCCATCCAAAGATGTGAATGTATGCGCATAACTGGAATATTGCATAAAACAATTGCGAATAAAACATTTTTCCATTCAATGAGTTCAAGAGAATAAAATCGTCACTTCCTGATAAACTGGCGCCTAAGATCAACAGTAAAAACGGAATTTGCTGCAGGAGGAGAAGTTTTCTTTATTTGAATCTTTTTTTTTTAAATTTAATAAATGACTTGCACCTCAGAAGATAATGGCTACACACTGATGATCACATGCTGGTGTTTGAAGGCATGAGATGCGGAGCACAGAAGCTCTTGAAAGTTCTGAATGTAAAAATTAATATTATAACAACACTAATACTGAAATGGTTAAGACTGCGTTTTAGAATAACAAAAAAAAAAAAAAAAATTCAGATGTTTTACAATGTGCTAAGCTGGCTGATTTGTCCATTCACACACATTTTCCATCACATAAACCCTTATTACAAAATCACATGATCTTTTTTTAATGCATATACTGGAATTTGTAAAAGTGTTTCCAAATCAGTTTATGTGCATTTTTTTCTTATCCAATAAAAAGTGTATCCTTCTCAGTTATGTGCATACATTTTTATGCACATTTTTCCATCAATGTTTCCATCAACAATTGTTTTATGCACATATCTAAAATAGGTGGATGAAAAAATCCTTTATGAGTGTGATCGCAATGATTAGCCATGGCTTTTATACACCACAGTTTAGCTAGCAGTCAATCAAATACAGAGATTCAAATAATTGAAGCTAAATTCAAATAATAGAAGCTAATTTTCCAATTAACTAATTATTATGATTAACAAGTTAGTTTTGGATAATGCATGTTATGTTCATGTATTTGATGAAAATAAGTAAAAATGTCCATAATGTAAAATATTAATGTGATTTAGAATAACAATGGTCTATTTTAATATTTTAAAATGAATTCCTATGATGGTGTTAAACTTTTCTTCTAAAATAAGGTCAAGATACATAGCTTATTATTATCAACATTTCAAAGATTTCAAGGCTTTTTGAGAAGGGGTATCATGTGACACTAAACAAGCAAGAATTTTGATCAGATAGTATTTGTATCTGTCACTTCTGATCAAAATCCTTATTAAATGTAAAAAATATTATTTCTTTCAAAAGTAATTTTTATGACTTAAAACTTTTGATATGCCAGTGTATATGACTAAATGCCTCTGCATCTTTCTTTTTTTGCCAGACGGCCGTTTCCCGCTGGTGATAGAGTCACGTTTAATGGAAAAGACTGTCTCTGCCAGCGCTGCGTCCAGCCAACTTCGCCAACTTCCAAAGACATCAGCGCCTCTAGTAGTGAGTTCACATTCACACACACACTTGAGTGCTTATTAGTTATGTTTTAGTGTCCTGCTCAGATTTCAGCTTGCCACCATCATCCCCCTTTAATAGATGTGTTATATTGTGAATTGAAGGCGTGTGGTGACAGATCTTATCCCGCTCAAGACTTAAGGTCATTGCTAGTTTGAAACTCACTGCCTCTCCATCTCATTAGAAACTGTATGACACTTTTTATGACATTAGTTGCCTTTGGGGAATCTGATGTCCGTAGTTTTATAGTTTGTATTTTACTTAATATTGCAATGTAAATAAGTGCAATTTTTTGTGTTGTGTAACAATAATCAAATTGTTGTTTTAGTTCTGTCTGTCGGTTATCAGACATCCAGTTTAGCAAACCCGTTTGAAGTGTTTAAAGTCTTTTGTGTCATATACATCATATTTTCAGCCAGTAACGTTAACCTGGCATCTACTAAAAATTGTGAGATGATGTATGTTTGATGCTTCATTGTTCGACACCACACAATCTCTGTGGCATTGTTTAAATATATTTCCCAACATTTATTCCCATCTAGAGTTGCATTACTTTTTTTCACAAAGATCTTTCAATGACAATGGAAAGTCTCATCCAGCACATCCCAAACATTGTTAATATAGTTTGGATCTGGACTCTGTGGTGACCAATCCATATGTAAGAATGATGTATGCTCCCTGAACCACTCTTTCAAAATTTAAGCCAAATAAATTCTGCCATTGTCATTCATTGCCTGTGCCATCAGGGAATAAAACATCTCATTGACAGAATAATCTGGTCATTCATTATGTTCAGGTAGTCAGCTGACCATTCATATAGGCAAATAACAATGCTGAACCTAGACTTGACCAACTGCTGCATCCCTGATCACAACACTAGTTATACAATGCTAGGCACTAGGCATAAGGTGTGTATATCTTCATCCACCTCTTTTGTGCCCACACATTATCCCACGACCCACACTTTGGGAACCACTGCAATAACTAACAGTTTAGATTTTAGTAATGCATTAGTAAATGTTGGACTATAACTTTAAAATTATGTTCTAAATGTTTGGGTACGCATGTACACAAATGAGCACATCAGAATTTGCTCCTTTAGTAATGTAGCTAGGGGTCCTTTTAATCTGCATGTTTACTCCCACAGATGACTACTTCACAAACAAGGTTTGTTCAACATCATTTCTGAAGAATGGGTCATAAGCAATGTGCATTTTGACAATATTTCTGAATGTCCTTTCTTAATGTGCAAGTATTGTTCATAATTAGCTAATGTTAGTAAACACATTAACTAAGATTAACTAATGAACCCTTATTGTAAAGTGTGACAGCAGTGTATATTGTAGTGAAACTGTATAAAAACTCCTTGGCAGCCAGCAGAAACATTGCAGCACCATTCCAAAATCCAGTCTGTTTAAAATAATCTACTAATACCAGTCAGAATACACTGTATGTTCTATACATTAACTATAGGAATGCTTTGGCAGTCATCCACAACACCATGATAGCTTTTAAACTACAAATATTTATTCTGAAATATCGCTTTAATAAGCTTCCAAGCTCCCTTTCAGACTCCTCTAGGGTTACTTGAGTTGACAGGATACTTAGAGCAATTCCTGTGCTGTCAACCAGGGAAAAGCTGATCTCCTTATAAACGTTTCTCTCTTTGATTCCTCTCTCTCTTTTATCTCACTTTGAGGAAGTTTCTCCATCCTCCTCCGGTAGATTAGGGCTCCTCTTGGTGTAATTTAAGCTGCGGGGCCCCAAGAGTCAATGAAAAGCCCAGAGCGCTGCTACGTGTCCCGTTCTCTCTCTGCTACACTCTCCGGCCGTCCACTTTTTTTCTGCATTCAAGACTGATAGATGCTGACAGGCCAGGACTCCGCATGTGTTGAATGTGCAGATTTCCTGAGGCGCTGTGTTTCCTTGTTATAGTAAATGGCTGCACTCATTAGAATCAAATTGTCATAATGCGGGGAATCGTTGTTGTTACATAACGACATCAGGTGATGGACAATTACGGGAGCAATTTAGCAATGAATAGCTGCTGTGTTGCAGAGGAGAGAATTAATGTAATTGTTAGCATTGCGTCATGGGATTGAGCTGATTGAGAAAACACTGCGCATCAGTGTCCATGCATCAGTGCAGTTTGGATTTGGATTATCGTGGGAAGAAAGGAGCCGGAGTGTGTTATTTAATATTCAGTAAAATATAGAATATATTTAGGATTAATGAATGAATCATTACAAATTAAATATATTTAGAACAATATAATATATTAAAATTAGAACTTAATTGTCATAAAGTCATTTAAAATAATTTTCTAATTAACTTGAGCTTTAATTAAATTCTTAAATAAAGTGCTAAATAATGACATAGCGATGTAAAAAAATATAATAAATAAGCAAGCAAAATGAAATACTGGCCTATATTATGTCTTGCATGATGGCTAATTCACCTTTTTAGTGTTAATAATGCATTCATGCATTGTTTGATTTATTCACATATGCCCATGAACTTCCTCTCTGTCTTTCTCAGATATCTTTCCTTCTTCCCGCATCCGCAGACACAGGAACTTAAAGAGCGCTGCTGAATATGTCTTTGTGTCATGCTTGGCTGATTATTTGTCATTCATGAGCTCCGGGAAATGATTTGAAGCTGATGAAAGTCTTTAGTCCAGATAAACGGCTTGATTTTTGGAAGGTGCTGATTGTTAAAGGCATGATAATGCAGCTTTTACTGCACAGCAGTCAGAGAGTTTAGATAAACCCCATGACAGGTGGACTGAACACAGCTCATTTTGAAGCATGCCTTTAATTTCTCTCCATAAACACCCACAGTGCGGGGTAGGCAGAAGGGACAATTCATATAAATCTTTAACTAAAAATTTACTTTTTTCCATTTTTTAAGTGCAATAATCAGTAATGAGTAAGCCTTTTTCTGCAAGCATGTAAACAAATGAGCAACTCAGATTTTGTTCCCCTAGTGATGTAGGTACATGTTTTTATTTTTAAATATGTAACCGCCCCTTAATCTTTATGTTTACTTCCACAGCTGACTACTTTCTAAAATTACCATTGACTATTTAGAACTATGTAGATTAAACCAGAAAATGTTCAAAGGCAGCATAATTCATAATCACACAATTATATATCACTGCATAATCAGATGACAGATATTTTACATTTTCCCTTATAACTGTGATGAGAAGTGTACTAAAATGTATTGGTTGTGTCTTATTGCCCGTTATACCCCCTATGCCTTATTAATTTAGAACGCTCCAACATTCAAACTTGGAATGATTTAAAAAATATAAATATAAATGTATATATATAGTTGAGGTAAGAATTATTTGCCCCTTTTTTATTTTTTCCCCAATTTCTGTTTAACAGAGAGAAGATTTTTTCAACATATTTCTAAACATGATAGTTTTAATAACTCATTTCTACTGATTTATTTTATCTTTGCCACGATAACATTAAATAATATTTTACCAGATAGTTTTCAAGACACCTCTATACAGCTTAAAGTGACATTTAAAGGCGTAACTAGGTTAATTAGGTTAAATAAGCAGATTAGGGTAATGAGGCAAGTTAATATATAATAATTGTTTGTTCTGTAAACAATCAGAAAAAAATAACAGCTTAAATGGGGCTAATAATTTTAACTTTAAAATGGCATTTAAAAAACTTTAAAAATGCTTTTATTCTAGCCAAAAATAAACAAATAAGACTTTCTCCAAAAGAAAAAATATTGTGAAAACTTCCTTGCTCTGTTAAACATTCATTCATTAGTTTATTTATTCATTCATTTTCTTTTTGGCTTAATCCCTTTATTAATCTGGGGTCGCCACAGGTGAATGAACCGTCAACTTATCCAGCATATGTTTTACGCAGTGGATGCACTTCCAGCTGCAACCCATCACTGGGAAACATCCACACCCTAATTTACACTTATAAACTACGAGCAATTTAGCCTTCCCAGTTCACCTGTACCGCATGTTTTTGGACTTGTGAGGGAAACCGGAGCACCCAGAGGAAACCCACGCCAACACGGGGAAACATGCAAATTCCACACAGCTGAGTCTCAAACCAGCCTCACTATATATATCAAAGGCTTCTCTCGTAGGTGTATTTTAGGAGTTCAGTTTTAGTGTTCTTCATATTGACAATTGCATTCTCATTGTAGTGCACTTTGAAAATATTTATGCCATTTTGAACACAGCCGTAGCTCATGACGAAAGCTATAGGTGACCTATAGGTGATTATTTAAAAGCAGAATTTAGGCTATGTTATGTCTCCAAAGCTTGTGAAAACACACTCACACACGGGCACACACACACACACACACACACACACACACACACACACACACACACACATATATATATATATATATATATACATACACGTTACACTTTAGTGTGTGCTCTGTAATTAACATACGTTAATGGTTTTAATGTAGGTTATCAGTACTGTAGGCCTGTATGACATGGGCCTGTTGGTTAGAACATGCAGTGGTTTGAATGTGTCAAATTGTGAAAGTAGACTTTTCAAAAAAATTTAATAAATACACAATATCCTACTTAATAATAATATTAATTATAATTCATTCAATCATTCATTTTCTTTACGGCTTAGTCCCTTAATTACTACGGGGTAACCACAGCAGAATGAACCACCAACTTGTGTATTTTGACCTGAAACTTTACATTCTGTGGACAGCAGAGATTATTTTATATGTTAGGTAAAGTAGCATAATCAGTCCCCTTTAAATGATGCATTAAAGCAGTACTGTAGATGCAGTGCATTATAGACTCTCCTGACTGTCAATGCCTTTTGTGCCTGAAGCAACATCAGCAGCGTCTGGGACGTCCCCGGCCCTACGCATCCCTCCCTGCTTTTTAAAAAAGCTTTTGGGATTTCAGCCAAGGAACATAAATAGAAGATGACAACCCAGAGCTATTTTTATCCCTCAACCTTATACACACGTTACGCATGTTTAAACTAAATTCCCTCACGTTTCTGCCAGGAAGAAGCTCCATCTTGTGGAGGGAGGATGGTTTGGCTTTCGAGAATGATGCTGGAGACACTTGTTTAATGAGTCATGCAATATAATAATGATTCATTATTGATCGCTGCATGAATTTTATGGACACGCTATGCTTGAAAGCATTTTAGAGAGAGCCTTAAGAATTAGTGCGGTTATGTTATATGTTATAGATCAACAGGCCTTGAAAACTAAGAAAAGGTTTATTTTGTTAACACTGACATCTAGTGGAGAGAGTTGTTTTAAAAATATATATATGTAAAAACTGAACATTCTACTATCAGAGATATTTTTGATCTTCATATTCCTATATCATTCAATGTACTTCATTTAATTTTGTTTGTTTATTTTTTATAACTTCAAATACATAACAATAACAATGCTACTGTATCAATAGCAATTGTAAAAAAGAAATAAAATAAAATAATTATTATTTCACAATATTTTAATAATAATAATAAAATAACACTACAAATATAAATATGTACTGTAATGCTGTTTGAAACAAACAATTGTGAAAAATAAAATTGGAAAACAAAAATAAAATATTTTTCAAAATATTAACCAATAATAATAAAACAAATTTAACACTAACACAACACTATGAAAAGCAGCAAATTCATTGATTCATTCGTTTTCATTTTGGCCTAGACCCTTTATTAATCAGGGGTCGCCACAGCAGAATGAATCGCCAACTTATCCAGCATATGTTTTACACATATGTTTTACCCTTTCATCCACAACCCAACACTTAGGAACACTCATACACTCTTGCAGAACATGCAAACTCCACACAGAAATGTCCACTGACCCAGCTGGGGCTCGAACCGGCAACCTTCCTGCTGTGAGGCGATCGTGCCACCCACTGCGGCATTGTGACGCCACTAAAAGCAGCACAACAATTGTTTAATGCAGCTTATGACAAGTTCATAAACTGGAAAAAAAAACACACACACACACTTTTAATAATCTTGTTTGGTTTTCCAAATTCCTCTCAGCATGTCAGAGTCAGTAAGTGTCATTTTGAGTCTGTTGTTCAGTAACGCGTGTGTCTTTTTGTGTTGTGTTGCAGACTGTGCTGGATGTGGCAGGGATATAAAGAACGGTCAGGCTCTTCTGGCCTTGGACAGTCAGTGGCACCTCGGCTGCTTCAAGTGCAAAGCCTGTGGCAAAGTGCTGAGCGGAGAGTACATCAGCAAGTGAGCTATGCCTTCATTATTCTTTATCTCTCGCCATCTCTATAATTCCCCCTCTCTTATCTGTCGGCTTTTCTAATAGCATTCAATTTCTGCTCTTATCCCGGTTTCACTGAGGTGAAATAGAATAGAATAAAAGCATAAATCTCTCTTGCCTCTCTCCTTTAAGGGATGGTTCTCCGTACTGCGAAAAAGACTACCAGATCCATTTCGGCGTGCAGTGTGAGGCCTGTCACCAGTTTATTACAGGGAAAGTGCTGGAGGTGAGTACTGAATATGTGTATTATTGATTGAGGCTCTTATCTTTTTCCAAAACACTACATGTAGGCAGAATTTTAAAGGTTTTTAAATGTGAGACAAGATGAGCAGCAATTGTTTGATGTCATCCGAAATACTTTTTAGACAAATTGTTATTTGGATGATCCTGTTTCCAAATAATGTGGTGTAGATAAAGCAAGAGAAATGGTTCATTATAATAACTGTATGTCGTAATTCTAAAAAAGGTATTTCTAATTATTTTAAGAGGCACCACGATAGCTCAGTAGTCACCTCACATCAAGAAGTTCACTGGTTCGAGTCCTGGCTGGGTCAGTTGGCATTTCTTCGTGGAGATTGCATGTTCTCTTTGAGTGATCCGGTTTCCCCCACAGTCCAAAGATATGCGCTAGAGGTGAATTGAATAAACGAAATGTGGGAATGAGTGTGTATGGATGTCTCCCAGTACTGGGTTGCAGCTGGAAGGGCATCCGCTGCGTTAAACATATGCCGAATACATTGGCGGTTCATTCTGCTGTGGCAACCCCTGATTAATAAAGAGATTAAGCCGAAGGAAAATGAATAAATGAATGAACGAATGGAAATGAATGAAGTAATTAATCAATCACAGATTTAGTAACAGTAAATATGAACATATTATTAATATATTTTAATAGTTTTAATCATTTAAAAAAGGTTGGTTTATCATATAGTGCTGGACAAATATTGATCATGATAAATCACACCCAAATCAAAGGTTAGTTTTAACAGGAGGATATATGTGTGAATAATATATGTGAAACACACATACATACATAAAAACAAAACTGCACAAATCAGTTTTGTTACATAGATATTCAAATGAATATCTTATTTGTATCATATACATATATTCTGTAAATATTTTATATATATAAGTATAAATAAACATTTTCTTGGGCGGCGCGGTGGCGCAGTGGGTAGAACTGTCGCCACACAGAAAGAAGGTCGCTGTGTAAAACATATGCTGGAAAAGTTGGCGGTTCATTTCGCTGTGGCAACCCTGATTAATAAAGGGAACAAGCCGAACAGAAAATAAATGAGCACTGTTGCCTCACAGCAAGTTCGAGTCCCGACTGGGTCAGTTGGCATTTCTGTGTGGAGTTTGAATGTTCTCCCCGTGTTGGCGTAGGTTTAGCTAACCTAAAGAAGATTTCAGTCATGATTTATTATTAAGTTTGTTACTGTTTGTTATATAACACTCTTCATGCCAGATGAATGAGATCTAACCACGGAGGCCAGATTCTGTCGGATAATGTCTGTTTCTCTGGGTATCCAGACAACAAGCCAGCAGAGCCGCTCAATAGCCAAACTTGTTAACCAGTATTTAACTGAATTAACAATCTCCTATCAATATAGGAGTTGACTGAGAAAGCCAGAGCAGAGCAAAAGCAGGAGATGAAGTAATAATGATAAAGAAAGAGCAGAGGTTATTGAATAATCTTAGTTGTGTATGAATCAGTGCTTTAAATTATTATACCACAAGCAACAGCAACAAAAAATTGTGCTTAACAACATTGACCAGTGGGGCATCCTGGTAGCGCAGTGGGTATCATGATTGCCTCACAGCAAGAAGGTTGCTGGTTAGAGCCTCGGCTGGGTTGGTTGGCATTCCTTTGTGGAGTTTGCATGTTCTCCCCGTGTTTATGTGGGTTTCCTCCGGGTGCTCCCACCACAAGTTTAAAGGCATGCACTATGGGTGAATTGGGTAAGCTAAATTGTATGTGTGTGAATGAGAGTGTATGGGTGTTTCTCAATGATGGGTTGCAGCTGGAAGGGCGTCCGCTGTGTAGAACATATGCTGGATATGTTGGGGATTCATTCCACTGCAACCCCAGATTGGCAATATTGATAATTATATACAGTAAATGACTAATGATCATATAATTAAATAAAATAATGAAACGAAGAATAGATGAATAGAAAATAAAACACAACACAAATAAATGGTTGTGTCCTTGAAGCAACACACGCATACATTTGTTCAATGTATTCTCAGATCCTTGGTTAGATTCTTCATGTTTAAATCCTGAGGCTGGTGAGATTGTTTCCTTTTTTTAAGTCACTCACCAATACAGCATTTATTTGATTAAAAAACAGTAATATTGAGAAATATCATGGCAATTTCAGATGATTGTTTTCTGTTTTAAACGGTTACACATTATTTAAAGAAATTCTGACAGATGTATTACAGTATAATGTATTTTTTTTCTTAAGTTATAATATGTAAAGTTATAGTATGCTGAGTTATAATTTTTGTCAAAGCTAAACAGTTTGAAACATTGTTGAGATCTTGACTGAAATTCTAGATGCTCCACATGTTAGTGTTTTGTTTTCCCGACACAAAACCCCGAAAGACTCAGATTGCTCTCAGTTACGTCCCACTGCAATCTAAAAGACACATTTAACATATTAAAGCCATCTCCATTGTGAGTTTCCCTGCCGTACGGATATTAAAGATGGTCCCTTATGGCTTGTTCTCTAGTTCAGTGTTTTATAGTCATGTCAGTATATGTCAGAATTCCAGATTCTTACACTTCCGCTCCCACTAAACATCTGGATCCCCTAAGAGTGGAGTCATTGGTCTGACCCATGTCCACACACACACATGCACACACATCCCAACAACCGCAAACATGCCTGAACTTACATCAGAGCCCCATTCATCAAACATTTGAGAACAACTGACAGAACCCCGATGTGAACAGAGTTGTACTCCATAACTCCACCCTGCTCTTATACATGGGACATCCCATTTGAGGCTGGGCAAAGCTTTTTTTCTCTCAGATCTTTGACTTGCGTCTCACAGTTCTGAGAATTGTGACTTTATTTCTTGCAATTGCATGTTTGATTTTATTGCCATTGAGACTTATTAATGATTAAATAGTCTGTCTTGTCAAAATGATTGTCATAGAAATGAGGATTTTTATGTAAAAGAAAATCAAAGACAAATGTCAGAATTGTAATATATTCAGTAAAAAGTCATAAAATCGCAAGTACAGGGAGAAACTTCTGAGAAGGATAATATGTATTTATATGTACATAACAAGATTTTCATAGTACACACATATTATGTCAAAATAAACTTTTTATTATTATTATTATTTTGGTTTAATCCCAATTAATCTTTGCCCTGCACTAATTCTTAGCAAACCTAAAAGAGATTTCAATCATGATTTATAATTATTAATTTAAGTTTATAGCTCTTCAAACCCAGAGGTTGGTAAGATGAATTAATTCCTTTTCATAGAATGGTTTCTCACATTACAGCATTTATTTGCTAAAAAAATTATAATATTAAGAAATATTATGGCAATGATTGTTTTCTATTTTAACCTGTTACAGTTTATCTAAAGATACTATGACAATTGTATTACTAAAGTACAGTAGAATGTATTTAATGAGGGGAACAACTAAAAACAACAGTCTTTTTTAGGAATTGTGACTTTCACACAAATGCTAATACATACTGTACACATAAGTCTTTCTTCCTGTCTTTGTTCAGGATATCTTGTAATTCTTACTTACTTTCTCAGAATTATACCTTTATAGCACGACAATTATGAAACAAAGTTATTTGTAATCCAAGTTACTTGGATAAAGTTACTTTTAAAAGTAATATATTACAATTTTAAGAAAAACACACACTTTCGTGTGAATTTCCTTTAAAAGTATCTAAGTAACACAGTTGCTTTAAAAAAAAAAAAAGACTCAAGATGAAAATATATTACTTTTTAAAGCAACTTTACCCAACACTGGTTACTAAACTGTGTGAAAGACATTCTAAACTCATAATTCTGCGATCAAATTTAATACAAATTGTAATGGTGAGATATAAACAAACAAACAAAAAAACAACATCTTTACAACAAATCTGGAGAGAGATAAACACAGGAGAGGAGAGAGGTTCCACAAAATTCCGTCACATTGTCCCAATACATATTGATTTGAGGTTTATATTGTTTTCATATTGTTTTTACAGATTTAACCCTTGTGTACTGTTCAAATTGACTGTCCTTTCGTTATGTTCATGGATGTTTTTGCCCCATTGACTTCCATTGTAATGACATTTATTCATTGCAAAGTCATGACACTAAATAATCATGCATTCATGATTGTTGGTGATTTTCCCTGTTGGAAAAAGGTAAAATTTTTCATTTTTACACCTGATCATCACTTGGCAGCAATAACCCTTTAGATAGGCCTGTGCTAAAAAGTTTCTTGTTTTTTTTTAAGAAGTTCTATGGAGTAAAAAAGCAGATTATAGTGCCAAGCATAAATACACTTACTATGTTTACTATGTTCTGACAGCTGAGTTAATTGCATCTTAATGAAAGCTTAGTCAGACAGGCAATGGTCAAACAGGAATAAACAGAAGCAGGCAGGTATTCCAAAAGAATAGTCAGGGTCACAGGTGAAGAGATTCGTACAGAAGGCAAACAACATAAAACAATAAAAAAGGCAAGGGTCGGGAAACACGGCAAGGCAAGACAATGGAATAACGCTTCGTGAAGTTATAGTTGAACAAGAATCAGCAAAGTCTGTGTGTGTTTGTGCTGTTTATATGGTCCATCTGATTAGTCCTGAACTGCTTCAACTGTGTGTGTTTGCAATGAAGAGGGATTTGGACCAAGTGTGTGAAAAAAGTGCATGATGGTATTTGTAGTTCTTTAAAGTGACAGATTTGTAGTGCCTCTGTAATCTGCACCAGAGTCAATAAGGCAAAAACTGCTAAAAAATGTATTGTTACATTTTTTTCAAAATATGTGTCAAAATAAGATTTGTCACCAAAAATTATCTCATTTGCTGTAATAGAAAAAGTTGTGTCTAAATTAAGACGCAAAATCACACCAGAATGGATGGAAATAAATACCCAAAAAGCACATTAATTTAAGTAATTTGGGGTTAAGTGGATTGAACATAAAGCAATGATATTGTCCCCCAAAAAACTCTGGAAATGTGTTGATTC